ATTCTTTTATACGTCCTTCCTCACGATATCTCTCTTCTATTCCTGATAATAACTATTGATCAACTTATTCCAATATAGAAGAAGAAAGCTTGCGAAATAAACTTTTATTCAATAATTTCAAAATACAACAGTTACCTTTTTCAACAAAATAATTAAACAATGTCTAAAAATTCAGTACGATTAAATAATTTGATATGTATCTTTCATATCTAATATTATTTTCTAGTCAAATTTTGCGTGTTTCTTTGATGTTGATGGTGTTATAACCAAAGGACCAAATATTATTCCTGCTGCTAAATTGGCTATTAAAAAATTGGTTCAATATGATGTTCCTTTTATATTCGTTTCTAATACATGTATGTTGGAAACAGAAAAAGCCGAGCAATTGTCAAATATGCTTGAAGTTCCTGTATGTTTTGTATTTTTTCATAGTTTGTTTTTTTATGAAAAAATTTCGATAATATTTAGATTCTTCCGAAACAAGTTGTTTTGGCTCATACACCCATGCGTTGTTTAGGTGAATATCATAAAAAACATGTGCTGATATGTGGACAAGGCGACATTGAAGGAATTGCTCAAACGTAAAAAAGCATCTTTTTCTTTTCCTAAAAAATTGATCTGTTTTTGTTCTCTTAGTGTTGGTTTTAAAAATACAACAACTATTGAAAGATTATGTGCAGCTTTTCCCGAATTAGATATGGTTGATCATACACATCGAACTCAATTAGTAAAATATTTTTTAAAAATTCTTTGATATTTAAATAAATTTGGTCTTAATTAATAGTGTGAAATGGTAAAAGATCAAGGTATTATTCGTAGTCAAGATTTCCGCCCCATTGAAGGTACTTTATTTTGTTTTTTTTTCCTTTTTATATATTTATATTATTAATATGATAATTGATTATTTTAGCGATTGTACTTCTTGGTGAACCTATTCATTGGGAAACATCTTTACAACTTATTACAGATATTCTTTTGACTCATGGTAATCCAAATGATGCAGCCAATTCTACTTGGGTCGGTCCACATATACCAATAATTGCATGTAATAAAGATTTGGTATTCAAAGCTTTTGCTGATATACCTCGTTTTGGTCATGGAGCCTTTTTGATATGTCTTGAAGCATTATACAACGTATGCATTTATGTATTATTGAAATATGAATTATTTTGTTTTATTATTTAGAAACTCAGTGGTAATGATTTAATGTATACAGCACTTGTTGGTAAACCATATGAAATTTCATTTCAATATTCTGAAATGATGGCTAATAAATTAGCTCGTTCTAAAGGTCAAACGAAAGTTGAACGAATTTATTTTGTTGGGTATTTTTTTATATAATTATAAGAATAATATTCAACGATTGAATTCTTTCAACGCGTTTTTAGAGATAATCCTGACGTCGATATTGTAGGTGCTAATGTCTATAATGCTTTACTTAAAAGAACTAAATCATCGAATGACAGTTTTACAGGATGTGGACTTTTAGCTCATCCACGTTTATTAACTGCTACATCATGTGAATCCATTCTAGTCTGTACTGGTGTATATGATCCAAATATAGATACACTTGACACAAAACAACCATGGGCAATACCAACAACAATCCAACCTGATGTATTAGAAGCTGTCAATTATGTCTTAACTACAGAACACGTTATATAAAATATCATATATTTTTCTTCTATTAGCATGATATATATATTATATTGTTGTACAATATAATTCGTATGTTTAATATTTTGTTGAATAAATTTTTATTAATTAAAGCAAAAACATTCTCATTTAGAATAGAAATATCACAGTGAAATATTATACTATAACAAGAGATAAAATTATAAATGAATCACACTACTTTAAAAAGCAATTTCGTTTTTCGATTTTTCCAATAAGAAAATTTTGTGTTTTCGTTAGATATCAAATATTTCAATTAATCATACTTAGAAAAAAGTGAATTATAATAATTTTTTTTCTTTTATATTCAAGTTTCTTACGAGTAAAATGAAAACTATTTTTAACAAAAAAGTAAAGTTGATTAAATTTTCATTTTATTTAAATGTTAGAAATGAAATCAGATAGATTGAACACAACCGATAGATGAACTATAACGAAGAAAGAATAAACAATTCTTCAGTTAAAATAAATACTAATACAGCTGTATTCAGAGAAGGATCAAGTTCATCTAAATCATTTAGATGCAATCAAAAATATCCGTTAGTTAAAAACAAAAAGATAGATCTCTAAATTAAAATAATAATATATCACTATTTTGAAACATTGAAATTGTAATTGCATGCGTCCACTGAAGTACTAACACGTTAGGTCATAGTCCTTCATACGATTCTCTATGAACTCACTATATTTCACAAATCATTAAATGAAAATTATTACTTCCATCTAGAAAATCTAACGCGTTAATTCTAACAATGCAAAATTTAGTAAAAACATAATAGAATAATCTCAGGTTTATTATCGAGGATCGCATTGTTTGAAATTTTCTATTTCATTTACCACCACATATCTAAAAAAGTGAAGATTTATCATGAACTGAATTATATCAATCAATATTCAAGGCTAAACACAAAACCTTTAGATATTCAAAATATAAAAACTATTTTCAATATATTTATTCAACAATAATAAGATAAAAATAGTATTTGATCAGTTAATTGCATTTAAAGTAATCGAGTATAATATTTAACAATGTAGAAATGAAACATCATATTCACTTGAATATGAAAGAAAGCAATCAACATATCGCCGTTTACAAATAATGATCAATAAGTAACAAAAAATAAATTTCATAATCATTGAAGCGAAAAGAGAAGAAAAATGGACAAAAAAAAATAATAGTATATATGTATATATCATTTCATACTGTGATATGTTTCGACTTTGATCGATGACTCATATAGACCTTTTTGTATTTGTTGAAATTTCATATTTCTTTTTTTTTTTAAATATTATTACAATCTGAGACCATTTGATGAAGTTTTTATTGTTATTTTATCCAAAAAAATTTTAGACTATTACAATAAGCATTAGATGTATATAAATCACATCAATCAGATCTATCAATACTGAAGATATAGAGGCGATGGTGGACCACAGTCCATTGTCTCATCGTACCTATCGTACATTAGGTAACTAGAAGGACCTAGTCGAAAGTTCTACTTTCTAAATTTTATATATTGAAATAAATACATTTACGGTTACTCTATTTGATCTTAAGGAGAAATTTCTAAAACTCACTCGAACTTTGTGAAGTCTATCATTGAAATTTCTGTTGTTAACTTTTCAAAATATTTTAAAATGAAAACCATTTGAAACAAATTTTTGGCTCATAAACTTCATTCTGTAAAAAAAATTATTTCGATCGAACTAGAAATAGAGTAAAACAACGACTAGAAGATGACGATTAGTTTGAAAAATCTGGTATAACATATTTTCTCAACGTCAGAAAGAGCCCTATATTCGATTGAATTCAAACACTCGCTAATTATTCTTGCGTATCTGGCTCATTATTGACCGATAACACCGCTTCGCATAAATCATCACATTCAGTGCTATTAATCTTCCAAAAACAAATGTTTATTTTTTCCAAATCTATGATCTTGTAAACAAGATGTCAATTTAATGCAAAACCAATGTAATATTCGGAACCAGATAGACAAAACTGGCTTTTTTTTATTTTGTAAACGCTACAATTCGCTAAAGCCCAACAGCATTCAAACTTTCAGTGAATACTCCTCTATGTAACATCTTGTGCTGGTTACAATATAAAATCAGTCGTTTGATCTTTTTCTAGTCATAAATAGTCTCTCAATAAATTATATCTAGAAAAGTTTGACATTAAATTATAAAACAATTTAAAAGACCTTAGAACTTCGACCTGTGAATCTATGTTCGTGCAGAACGAATACTATATTACTGAAAAAATATCACCTTGAATAGATAATTACAAATGTATCATACAATAAATATATGTAACCTTAGAACAGTACAAATGTTACCCTGATCAAAATAAATGATGCACTTTTTATTTTTCTTCTATTATTGTATTGTATCATTGTCGCTTTAGTTCATATTTGTATCATAAATAATTCTTTGATTACTATGCTTATTCTAAAAGTTTCAGCTCTACAGAATGGGAATTCGTTTAGAAAAAAAATATTCAAGAACCCATATGCTGTCTCGTAAAAATAACCGTACAAAAATACATCCTATGAAAAGATTTAGTAGTCTCATCAATTGTTCATTAAACTTTCATGCAACCTTTTAGAGCTTATGCCAGTTTCATAAACTCTCGTACGTTCATGATGATAATTAATCCTTGAACTGTGTATGAAAAAAAGCAATAATTTCCTGAATGATTCATTATCTTCGTAATCCTATAAGGATTGATGAAAATTTGTTAAGGAGTTCATGAGTCTAATCAAAACTTTTTCGTAGAACTTATTATTCTACATTGGTTTTAGTGTAATATAGCAGAGAAAGTCAAAGTTTGCTATTTGTTAAAATTGATATTGTTTTTTTTTCAATATCACCAATATTTAATATAGAAATCACTTTTCTATCAATTTTTGTCGTCAATATTTTGAAAAGAAATCTATTCAATAAATTTGTAGTGGTACAAATGAAGTTTGGACAAACTGAATCACTCCGATAAGGAAAAATATTTCAACGAGCAAACAAAATAAGTATTGGTTTGATTGCCATATCAGTATGTAAAACATATTTGTATTTTTTCTCAATGAGTTTTCTTTCTATGGAACTGAAACTTTCAGAATAAGTTAAGTAATCAAATATGTATCTATAGTATAAATATGAGATGTAACCATAAAGAGAAATAATTGTAAAGTTAAGCTATGCCGTTTATTTTAGTGAAAAGAATACAAAAAAAATTTTTTTTTTCAATTTTCGATTTTATTCAAGCTTATTAATCGACTTTCAAATCGATTTCAATTATTTAGATCCGTTTATATACAAGAATTAAATAATTATAAACGAGTTATTGTTGATTGATGTTTATCTTCGATAGTTATATTAGTATCATAACTATTGGATCGATGTTCTCTATGTTGCTTTAATTCAAGTAATGCTTTCATTAGAGCATTTTCAAATGATTGACATAAAAGTTCATTTTCTGGATCATATGTATTAATAGATTCTGAACAATTCTCATCAATATCAAGTAAACTATTTGATTCAAAATCATCATTTATATTTGTTCTTGATGATAAAGTAAATACACCTGAATCCGATTGATTATCAATTGAGATTTGTTTCTTATTGATTGTTTCATCATTTGTGATATTTTTATGTGGAACAAAATGATTTCGTGCTCGACGGATCACTTTTAATAAATATCGATCAGTATTGGTTGATGTTGGTGATGATGGTACTGAAGAAAGACTACAATAAACAAGAAACAACGAAATTAAATGAAGAAAATACAAAAAAAAAATCATACTCAAATTGATTATTTGAATTCATTGTTGTTTCTAACCAAGCATCAATTGGACTTTTATTATTATTATTATTATTACCATCATGATGTTGTAATGATGATGTTTTAATTTGACCACGAATGTCGACTAGAGTTGATAAGTTTTTTAAGATACGTGTACGTTTTTTCACCGGTTTAGCACTATCTGATGTTAAATGATCTTTTAAATGCCATTGAATAAATTCTTCTTTAGATATTCGTCCATCTTTATTTACATCCATGGTATTAAATGCTTGTTCATATGATAAATTATCATTAATACCAGTTTTATATTGGCCAAGAAATTGTGCAGCTAATTTTTTTCGTGAATTAAATTCATGTCTTGTTATATAACCTTGATTATGTGTATCAAAAAAATTATATAATGTTTCGACTGTACGTAAACGATTAGCTCCAGTTAATGCTGATAGTGCATAAATATATTCATTAAAATCTAATTGTCCATCATGATTTCGATCGTAAATATCAAACATCATAGAAAAAAATTTTCTACTTTGTCGATAGTTTTGTCTTGTAATTAATGTTTGAAAAAATAGTGTTGACAGTGTCGATTTTTGCATGGGTGTCTGTACAGCTGATTTTCGTATAAATGTTAGAAATTTTTGTTTTGAACAATATCCATTTGGACAATCACGAAAAAATGTTTTACGTGCAAAATTAATATCACTTTCAGAAAAACCTGTTTCATTATCACTGTATGACGCCATTTTTTATTTATAATAGTCAACGATATTATGGCTTGTATTGCGATACTTATATGTATATATGTACAAAGAAGGATGATGATGTATGATGAGTGATGTCTTTTTTGATTCGTATAATGTGAGACAAAAACAAGTGAAGCGAGAAGCGATATGCGTATAGTATCGTTTTCGTACACTTTGCTTTCTATGTGTTGTTTCCTGCAATTGCAGGATACTCATATTGAGTAGCTACTTTTTTTCTCTAGTTCTCTTAACGTCATGTAAGTATACATATATATATATATATATGTACACTACGGAAGGTATAAGTAGCATGTCCACAATGGCTGCTTTATTGTGTGCTCAATTAAAAGGTCAAGCAAACAGATGAGCGACGAGAGCGAGTGACCGTCGGTCACTTACTTTTTTTTCTTATTTCGAAATAGCTAAAGTAAGGAATAGGATTAGATACCGTCGGCTCGAACTGTTACCATGATATGTACCGGGAAATAGTTTAACGTTCATCATCATAATGCACTGTCTACATATTGTCGTCATTCGATAAAGTCAATAGTGGACATATACACAACTGAGGTGAGTAGTGAATTATTCTGATATTGATTTCTTCTTCTTATATATAGATATAATCTTAAATCTTATAATGAATCTTTATGATATCGATGTATGAGCATATAGATGATATGATGTAAAAATATTCTCATTTCATGTAAGAATATAAATTGGATATCATTGAAATGAGCTATTTTTATTTTTACCTTGAAAAAGTATTGAATTATATTTCTAACTGTTACAACATTTCAATGAGATTAAACCTTAAAATAATTAATCCATCTTATATATTCTTATTTAAATATACATAAAACGGAATTATCGTGCGTGAAAAATTCATTTGAAAGCTTTTAACATAAATAATATGTATAAGACGACGTACACACACACACACACATGTATATATATATATAGCAGATTACTTTTCTTTTTATTCTATTCAACATAATTCAAAGAAAATGATTTGCATGTGATATAACACTATTACAGTTACTATTTCTTCTTATGATTGACCCTGAAAATGTACGAGACGAAATAATGGTTATATCTCGAGATACATATTCAGCTTCTATATCCGCTACACACTTGTCCATTTTAAATAAAATATAAGAGAAAAAAATAATAAACGAGAAAATAACCCTGAGATTAAATGAATTAATCGAGAAATTCGAATTTCTCTTATGTCAGTCGATGAAGAAAAAATATCTCACATGAGATCTATATGTACTCTTCTACACACCATGAGCAAACATTGCCTCGTGCGAGCATTTATCGTGTTTGTATGCTCCAATTATTCATACAAATGTAGACGTGACTCTAACCTACTATTCGATACTCTTTTTCTTTTCTTTCTCTCATCAACATCTCTAATGACATATGTTGCTCTCTTTCTTTTACCGTTCACTTGAAAATTGAAGTAGTCTATATGTATATATACATACATGAGACGTTTCAAGATACACTTATTCTAAAACTGGAGGTGATAAATTTTACATTTTTATTCGTCTAGTTATCATAATGGATGAACAATTTATTTTTTCAACATCATCTGCTTTATTTGATACTTATCTTGTTTATGGTATCATTGGTTTACTATTATTTATTGCACTCATTGGTCTAGTTATTTTATTAGCTACATCATGTTGTTGTTGTTATTGTTGTTTGTCTCCAAGATCATGTTGCTTATGTTATCATCATAGGCGTCGGCATTCGTCATATAAACTACGTCAAAAACCAAATCATCCAAGTGGATCAAGTAACGATGATTCAAAAAAAATTGCGTTTATACGACGTCATCCAAGCGACGTAGCAGATTTTTCTCAATTATATGATTCATGCCCACACCTAATCAATAGTAAAGCTATGACAACAACAAGTACAAATATGGATACGAGTTGTACAACAATTGATACACTTGTTAGTCCAATATCACCATGTAGTTCATTTCGTTCATTTATTGAATCAGGAACATCATCAAACGAAAATAAACGTAAATTTAAAAACAAAAGTTTGATTTTTTAATAATACTTTTTTTTTTCTTTTTTAATAGTTCCCATAGTACAAAGTGATTCTAGTAATCCATCACAAAAACATAATATAACTATTGATAAGATTAATAATGTTCCTTCATCATCTGTTAAGAGTAAGAAAAAAGAAAAAAAAAATCAAATTTATTTCGAATTAAATATTATAAATTAAATTAGGTGTATCTTCTCGTCCATTTTCTTATATAAAAAATACAAATGATCGTGCACATATTTTACGTCGTTTTACTCCACATGAACGTGCTATACCAGCAACCATTATACCCATTGATGTAACTCGAATATCTTCATCTGAGAATGACAATAATAATCAAACAAATTCAAATAGTACAAATATTTATGAAACAGTTCTTCCAACAACAACAAATAATAATAATCATAATCATAATTCAACAACATCAGATATGTCATCACCTATTTATGAAACTGAATGGACACATAGTTTAAGACAATTAATGATGGCTACAGGAACATCATCGATTAAAAATGAAGGTATTTCTGTTATTGAAGTGTCTTCAACACCACCTGATATAGTTCCATCAACAAAACAATCTTCGAATTATTTTCAACAACAAAATCTTTATGATAAATTTTTAGCAAATCGAACAACAATATCAGATTCAATGAGACGAACTAATATGCTAAGACAATTAAAAGACAATGCAGCATTCCTTTATTAAAGCAATTATTTTCATTTTTTATGATAGATATGTTTTGTTTTGATTTTTTTTTCTGTTATGTTTTTCTTATGTATTCAATTGACAAAAAAAGAAACAAACGAATAAGACACAAGATAAAATATTGTAAATAAAACTTCGATCATAAGATTAAAAAAAATATCGATTGAGAGATTTTGACGCAAAACATATTTAAATCATATTTAATTTCAATAGAGTTAAATATAAACATTTAGACAATAAACTATTCAATGATTATAAATAATGAGTAGTTTTAATACAGATATAAATTATATATCAAATAAACGGTCTTTTTTACTAAACGACCAACATCATTATTCAGATTTTCATGTACGCTTGAATGATTTTATTTTTGACGTAATTCAATGATGTCCTGTCGCTTTGATTATTTATCATAAATTTGATGAAATTGCTTACTTATCAAAAAAAAAACAATTTCGTACGAAACTATTTTGATAGCAATTCAGGTATATTTTGTTTCATTATTAATCAAACAAATGTCATACTTCTACTTCTGACTACTAATCACTGTAATAGAGGACTCACGTAGAAATTTCATTGAATTAATTACAACGAACAAAAGGTTTTTTTTTCTGTTTCAGAGAATTTTGTAAATTAAATTGGCTAAAGTTTCGTAATAGATATCAAAATACATTTGATAATATTAATTCATATAATGAGAGACTGTCTTATAGTCATTATTCATATATTTGAAGTAAAAAATAGAATAGGAAAAAAGAAATTTGATTAATTTTGTTTTAATGTAATGTCAAGAAACAAAATATCGTTTAGATTGCTATGTGAAGTGATCCAAAAAGAGGAAAAGATTTGAATAATTTATTAATTATAAGATTAGCGAATAATAAATGATGTTACTCGGATTTATCTTAATTAGCAGTATTTCTTCAGGTGACACACACTGGTTCACACTCATACAGTGCTGTATCACCCAATTTATATATATATATATACTATAGATATAATCTGAAGGCGTATTTTTTGCTGGTAGTTTTTGTGATTTCAGCAACTATTATCTATATACTTCTATTTTTATGGCATAATTTCCATGAAATGATTTATGCTAGTCTATTCTATTCTACGAAAACGAATGGCTACATTTTAAAAAAAAATCCTTTTTTGAATTAATTGCTACATTTAATTTTTAAATTTAAAAAGATTCTATTAAGTCTCATCGAGTAGAAATAATCTTGCAAACAATAAGATCAGTATTTTCAAGTTATCGAATATTGCTACCAACATCTGTTTATTTATTTCGTATTGACTAATTCAGTTTCATTTATATGAAATTTGAATATCTTTTGCTGCTCCTCCATAATGCTTAGATCTTCGATAATACGTTTGATACCATAATAAGCATGCACTATAAAAAAAAAGCTGTCGAATAATATACATTTACTGTCCAATTATTGCCATTGCATAAAACTTTCTTAGGTTTGCGTGCGTAATCTACCCTTTTTGCTTATAAACCTTGGCAAGAGTTTGTGACTCATTGCAAATTTATACGTCGTTCCACTGTTTTCTGTGTTCATTTACCTTTTTGTTGGGCATAGGAACGGAAAAAATCTCAGCTGAAAGATTTATTATTCTATGGGTGTGTTTAAAACGTGCAAAGATAAATCTTTTGTCTAAGGTTTATTTCGTTTATACACCTAAAAAAAATAAAGGTTAATGAACATGGAAAGTAGTATAGGGGTATATGAATTTGCAACGGATCACAAACTCTTGCTTAAGTTTATGAACAGAAAAGGTTTATGTAATAGTATTAAGCGGATAGTGAGGGCTTACTATTCTGCACTTTTTTTTTACAGTGTATCTAACAATATCTTCTTAAAAATACTACCTAATGTAATATATTCAATATTATTTATAAATATTGTCTGTTCTTAATCCAAAGTAAAATTGTAAACAACTTCATAGATGACATATGTTGAAAGAGAAAAAAAGTGAACAAAGCTACATTGATGAATTATTATTCAAACGAATTCGATGTTACTACGTAATAATAAATCCTCGGCATATAGGTGACGGAGCGTGTTAAACCTTGGACAGACTATACAATCTTCATAAGGTTTTCATCGAAAAACTAAGAATGAATGAGAGAGAAGGGTGAATCTTTTTCTGTTATTCAGATGGAATACAATAAGTGTTTCTATATTTTAAACTCATATTTTGGAAGTATGATTCAAAAGAAAATCATAACTTCTGTCAAACGATGTGGATTTTAAAGAAGCAAATAAGCATTCGTTTCTATTTTATTTCGATTCTCCAAAAAAAGAGTTTACCATGTACTGTACTGAACACACAGAGTAATAGTGAAGTAGTAGGATACATAAAAAACAAAGAAAAGCTGAGTTACTGAAGGCAAAGAAAGCTTTCAAGAGTTTTTAGTTTATCTAACTCAAGTTTCTACTTGTTGTACAGAAGTACTACTTCAAGTTATTGGCAATGCATGGGCCAATATTTAGTCATACAAAATTGAATGTTTTTTTCAGGAGTATTTTCTAAGTCTACTCTATTGCTACAAAAAATATTACTATTTATTGTCAAGAACAACGGAAAATTTCGACGTTTGTATAAGAATTTCAATGCATTGCATAAATCTATCAATTAAATAGGACAAGAAACAAACGTTTGAGTCTACTCAAGTCTAGAATAGGCTTCAGCACATATAAATCTTGTGGCTCCGTCGACTATGTGTCAGTATCAAGTCTGTACATAACCTAACAGATCATGCATTGTTTGAATTATTAAGAAGAACTTATTAAAATTAGATGGTCCAGAAGAAATGGATAATTTTTCATATAAGCTCTTATTTATATAATCTCAATAATTTATGTTTTCATCCCAAAAGATTCGTTATTAAATTCTCTACGAAACCCATATTGAATGTTTTATAACAAAAAATATTGATAAATTCCCAAGTCGCCAACTTTCTATATCAAAACAACGATTTTTTGCCTTTTTTTGTCAACCAATATATAAAAATCTAACTGTCCACCTTGTAGCTATTGAACACTTAACTTTTGCCTCTAATTAAAAACAAATTTTTACCATAACTAGCTGAAAGAGAATTCCTTTCTTTGGACGTTTTTTTTTCACTTAAATCAGTACTTGTGAATTGTAACTTCATACCACTTATAGAAAATTCTACATCTTCTTCCAAAACAGTGAATAGATTGAATTAAAGAATAAAAGTTTTCATGCTATTAATCACTTCGTTTCAAAGAAAGTATCCTTTCTAGTATCAAACTAGACTTTGACAAATTCTATGATGCATCTTGAACAAATGCAAATTTGGCAGCATCAGATAACTTATTTCCATATATCTTGTCGTTTTTATAAGCGTTTAGAAACAGTTTCAATAAACTAAAACATGTTCTTAGAAAGTTGACAGTTTCGCAGCTTCTTAATATTTGTCGCGTAGTCTTCTATGTTCATATTTTATTAGAAAAAATATTTCATTCGGCTTTTGTAAAGAATTTTGCAGTGCTCTTTTAAATAGACAAAAGAAATTATTGAGATTACATGTGTAGAGTCGCATGAAAAACTAAATTAACTTAACAAGATGTCAGACAGGGAGAAAGAAATAAGACAGCTAACAAGAGTTTTGTCACAATGTTAATATTTTATGATGAAATATCTGAAAGAAAAAAATAACGAATGTTGTGAATGAGGTTATTAAATTTTCACTGAATGCAAAAGTAAAAGTTGATAGACATGAACTTTCTACTTTTATTTCAAGTTTTTAACATTTAGAAAACAAAATGAAGTAATCGAACGAACATTTATGTTCATTTTCTTCTGATGCAAAACTTCTAGTTCAATGTATTGATGTCGAACAACAAAGAATGGAAATTTAATGTTAACTTTAATGAATATAAAGGGTAAATGGAAAATCTCTACATAAGATATTTGACTGTTTTTCGCGTACTTGAATGCATTGAAAAAAAAAAGAGTAAAATAAAATCAAAATTTTGTGCTTTTTCAGAATATATGCTTAGAATTTTTCTAATACTTTACACTATTGAAATCTAACTAAGTCTTGACAGGGCTCAACAAAAATTTCTGAAAAGACAAAAAGCTTATTTTTCTGAAGACGAATCTGCTTTTGTAGCTCAATTGTCAAAATTAGAGAACATTGGATTCAAAATGTTCGAACCTGACAAGTTCTAGTCAAAAGTTACAGAAAAATTCTAAGCATATACTATGAAAGAGTACAAAATTTTTATTCTAATTCACTAGTTTTCAATACATTTAAATACACGAAAAATAGTCTAATATATTGTCTAAAAACTTTCGGTTCACTTGTTAGATCAACTTTTAGTAATTTATATAGCAGAAAATCTACAGTTTTAAAGAGAAGATTTACAAAAGTCATTCAAATTTATCAATATATGATTTAACCAAATTTAATGGTTGAGCATTCGAATCAAGAAATGGATTACCAAGAATGAATTGAGGAGATGAGTTTGTTGAAATCGATAGTGAATTTAAAAATGCTATTTGTTCTAGTTCTTTTTTTGTTGATAATAATGATATTGGTGATTTGAAAGAATTCTCAGAATGAGAAAAAGTATAAAGATTTTCTTGCTGTAATTTTAATTTTTCTACATTTTTAACTATTTGTTTCGAACTTCTTTGACGATTATAATATGATGAAATTTCAATTGATTCTGGATCCGATACAATTTGTTTTATTTGATCAATGATTTCTTTTTTTTCTAATTGTTGATTTTTTCTTTTCTTTTGAATACATTTTGTACAGAGAATAATTGTTAAAATAAATATTCCAATTACCACACATACAATTACAATTGGAATCCAAATAGTCTTTTTTCGAACATTTAAATAAATAATACTCTTATCTTCATAGATTATATCAAGTAATTTATTTGTAGCATAACATCGATAATAACCATAATGATTTGAATAAGATACATGATCAATAATTAATGTATCAT